TATTTTTTAATGAACAGACAGTCTTAACTTTAGTGTCGGCTAACTTACCAATCTTTTCCTTTATGGATAATGATTCTTTATGTGTCTTGTTTAAGAAATATTTTTATACCTCCAAGACATGCTGATCTTCTCTAATATTTTCCAAAACTTTATTATTTTGCATTACATTTAGGTGGAGAGTCTATCTGGAACTAATTTTTGGGTATGGTGTGAGGTAGGGTTTTTAATTTCATCAAGGTAGTTAATATACATGGTTAGTAAAATAAAGATGAATGAATCCACTTTCTGGAGGAGACTTCCTGTTTGAGGTATTTTGTTCTATTACAAAAGTTGCTATTGTTGTTAAGTGCCGTTGAGTCAGTTCCCACTCATCGGACCCCGTGTACAACAGAGTGAAACACTGCCCGGTCTGCGCCATCCTCACAACTGCTCTTATGCTTAAGCCCCATTGTTGCAGCCACTGGGTCAGTCCATCTCGTTGAGGGTCTTCCTCTTTTTCGCTGATCCTCTACTTTACCAAGCGTGATGTCCTTCTCCAGGGACCGATCCCTCCTGACAACATGTCCAAAGTAGGTGAGATGTAGTCTCTCCATCCTCACTTCTAAGGAGCATTCTGGTTGGACTACTTTATGAAAGTAGTATCACCTTATTACAGAAAAATTAGGAAGTAGAAAGAGCCGGGGTGGCTTAATGGCTCCGGAAACTGAGGAACCTGGGTTGGAATCCTGGTTCTGCCATTTCTTGGCTGGGTAACCTTGGACAAGTGCCTTCCTTTGTCTTTGCCCCAGTATCTAATCTCTAAAATGGGTGTAGCAGTGCCAACCTCACACAGCTTGGAAAGATACAGCATGTCAAGTGTTTAACACAGCGCAAAGATACAGCATGTCAAGTGTTTAACACAGCGCGAGACACAAAGAAAGAGCCCAGTAAATAGCAGCTGCAATTATTAACAAAGGATTTGATTTAACGGCTCAGTACCCATTTGCCCTTAAGCTACATCTGGTTAACAGCGGATAACCCTTCTTGAAGCGTGTTTTCCTAGACACAGGATTTGAGTTGAAGCACAATCATACCACAGTTCAATTTCATTTTTACTGGACTGTTCTTTGTTTTTACTGGCCTCTTCTATGCATTCTTTTCTAACAGCTGAATGGTATTCCATTGTGTGGCTTCCTTCAGCCATTCTGAGGGGAAGAGAGATAGCACAAACAGATAAAAGCCAGGGCTCTGGAACTAGATGACCTGGGTTCAAACCCAACACCACAGTTCCCATTCCCCTTGCCGTGGAGTCTGACTCATAGCGACCCTGTGGGACACAGTAGAACTGCCCCATAGAATTTCCAAGGGGCACCTGGTGGGTTTGAACTGCCGACCTCTTGGTTAGCAGCCATAGCTCTTAACCACTGCACCACCAGGTTTCAACAGTTAGTGGCTACGAATCCTTTGCCTCTTGGCACCTTGATTGCCTCATCTGTTAAATGGGAATAATGTACCATCCCGCATACCTGACATATTTCAACAAGTTGCTGGGAAGACTAGATGAGTTGTCGGATACAGTGGGCCAAGAACAGTGCTAAAATACAGTGCTGGGCACAAACTGAGTCCTTGAAAACGTCAATAGAAATATTTCAGCATTTTGAATTTCATTTAAAAAGAGAAGATGGATTTAATTGATGGGTAGATAGAGGTCAATACCCAAAACCAAACCAAACCCACTGCCATCAAGTCAATTCCAACTCATAGTGACCCTGTAGAACAGAGTAGAACTGCCCCATAGGATTTCCAAGGTTGTAAATCTTTACGGAAGCAGACTGCCACATCTTTCTCCCAAGGAGTGACTGGTAGGTTCCAACCGCCAACCTTTCAGTTGTCAGCCAAGTGCTTAACCGCTGCGCCACCAGGGCTCCTTAGAGATCAACAGGGGAGTAATAAAGCAAGGGTAGTAACATGGGGCAGATCCTCCAAAGCTAACAGAACGACCATGTGGCCCAGCAAATCCCATTCCTGGGCAAGTACCCAAAAGAACTGAAAGCAGGGACTCGAACAGACCCTTGTACACCAATGTTCATTGCAACACAATTGACTACAGCCAAAAAGGTGGAAGTAACCCAAGTGTCCATCAACAGATGAATGGATAAACAAATTGTGCTATATCCATCCAACGGAATATTGTTGTCACAGAAAGGAATGGAGTTTTGATACACGCTACCACATAGATGAAATCTCAAAACCATTATGCTGAGTGAGATAAGTCAGACACCAAACGACAAATGTTGTACGATCCCACTGACATGAGATATCCACAACAGGCAGATGCATAGAGACCGAAAGTAGATTAGAGGTGACTGAGGGCTGAAGGAAAGGGCGATGGGGAGCTATTGCTTAATGGGTCCAGAGTTCTGTTTGGGGTGACGAAAACGTTTTGGAAATAGCGTGATGGTTGCACAAGATTGTGCCACTGAATCATAGACTCCAAAATGGTTAAAATGGCATATTTTATGTTATATATATTTTACTACCATAAAAAATTTTGAATAGCAAAGAAAGAGAGAAAGAGAAAATAGTCAAATGGTAGAATCCAGGAGATGAGCATATGTGTGTTTCCTGTAAAATTCTTTCATTTGCTTGTGTGCTTAAATTTTTTCATAATAAAATGTTGGGGAAAATACTTGTGGACATTCATTTAGCTGTTTTTCTTGATGATCATGGTACAAACAGCAGCAACTGATTCCCCAGGCACCTTGTATATGACTCTGTTGTTGGTAGGTGCCATTGAGTCAGTTCCGACTCATAGCAACCCTGTGTACAACAGAACGAAACACTGCCCAGTCCTGCGCCATCCTCACAATCAATGCTATGTTTGAGCCCATTGTTGCAGCCACTGTGTCAGTCCATCTTGTTGAGGGTCTTCCTCTTTTTTGCTGACCCTCTACTTTACCAAGCATGATGTCCTTCTCCAGGGACTGGTCCCTCCGGATAACATGTCCAAAGTATGTGAGACATAGTCTCTCCATCCTTGCTTCTAAGGAGCATTCTGGCTGTACTTCTTCCAAAACTGATTTGTTCTTTCTTCTGGCAGTCTGTGGTATATTCAATATTCTTCACCAACACCATAATGACATAGCTCATTTAATGGCCCCAACAATCTGTGGTGCGGACTTTAGGAAGCACAGTTTACAGATAAGGAAACTGACGCTTGTCAAGGCTCAGCAGCTCACTATGTGACCTTCAGGTCACTGAGCTGGTGGGGGTCAGAGGAGGAGTATGGAAGCCAGAGCAGGTGAGAGGTAGAGGAACAGGGTCCTTCAGGAGGAAGAGTGACGTGCACCTCAGAAATAGTGACCTGGGCCAAAAGGTCTTGAGGTCCCACCTGGAGGATGGTCCTCATTGTCACAGCTACTGTGTGTGGAACCATGATGAGTGCTTTGCATGAATGATCCCATTGATCCTTCATCCCATTTTATAGATGGGGAGACTGAGGCAACAGAGATTGAGCAATTTACCTAAGATCGTACAACTGGTATGTGGCAAAGCTGGGCTAGAACCCTGGAGTGTCTGATTCAAAAGCCTGGGGTATAAATACATTTAGGAAGGCCTTCTTCCCACTTAGGATAATATCTAGCCAGAAATATTGTTGGTTCCACCTTCAAATCAATCCAGAATCCACCCACATCTCTCTGTTCCCTGGTCTCTCCTGCCTGGACTACCTCAGCAGCCCCCTCACTGTCTCCCTGCTCCCACCCAGGCCCCCTGTCATGGATTGAATTGTGTCCCTCAAAAATATCTGTCAACTTGGCTAGTCTGTGATTCCCAGTATTGCGTGACCTATCCAGCATTTTGTCATCTGATGGGATTTTCCTGTGTGTTGTAAATCCTGTCTCTATGATGTTAATGAGGCAGGATTAGAGGCAGTTATGTTAATGAGGCAGGACTCAATCTACAAGATCAGGTTGTGTTTTAAGTCAATCTCTTTTGAGATATAAAAGAGAGAAGCGAGCAGAGAGACAGGGGGACCTCATACCACCAAGAAAGTAGTGTCAGAAAAGCGCATCCTTTGGACCCAGGGTCCCTGCACTGAGAAGCTCCTAGCCCCAGGGGAAGATTGATGACAAGGACCTTCCTCCAGAGCTGACAGAGAGAGAAAGCCTTCATCTGGAGCTGATGCCCTGAATTTGAACTTCTAGCCTCCTAGACTATGAGAGAATAAACTTCTGTTTGTTGAAGCCATCCACGTGTGGTGTTTCTGTTATAGTAGCACTAGATGACTAAGACACCCCTGCAGTCTGTTCCCCACATGGAGCCAGAGGGGCTTTGTTAAAACCTGAGTCAGATCACCTCCCTCCCCTGCTCAGAGCTCTCCCGTGGCTCCACCTCTCTCAGAGGAAAAGTCAGAGTCCTCCCTGAGGACCAGGAGGCCCACATGATCTGCCTTGTTGCCTCTCTCCCCTCATCACCTCTCAAGTCCACATCATTCACCCTGCTCCAGCCACATGGCCCGCCTTGCCAGCACCCTCCCACCTCAGGGCCTTTGCACTAGCTGTTCCCTCTGTCTCCGAGAACACTCTTCCCCCTGGTGCTCACATGGCACCCTCCCTCCTTCAGGCTTCACTAAATATCACTTTCTCAGTGAGGTGCTCCTTAACTATCTAATACAAAATCACAGTCCACCTCCATGCACCATTTCTGATCCCCTAAGCAGAATCAGCAAATTTTTTCTGTTAAGGGCCAGATAAAACCAGTTGCTGCTGAGTCAGTTCCAACTCATGGTGACCCCATGTGTGTCACAGTAGAAGTGGGCTCCGTAGAGTTTTCAATGGCTAATCTTTCAGAAATAGATTGCCAGGTCTTTCTTCTGAGGCACCTCTGGGTGGATTCGCATCGCCAACCTTTCAGTTATTAGCTGAGTACTTAACCATTTGTTCCACCCACGGACCCCTAAAGGGCCAGATAGTAAATATTTTAAGCTTTGTAGGCTATATGGTCTTGTCACAGCTACTTACCTCTGCCATTGTAACAAGAAAGCTGCCAAAGACAGCATGTAACCAAATAAGCGTGGCTGTGTTCCAATAAAACTCTATTTATTGACACTGAAATTCTGATTTCATATAATTTTCATGTGTCACTTTATTCTACTTTTGGTTTTTTCCAACCATTTAAAAATGTGAAACATATTTTTAGTTTTACATTCGAAAGCTGGACAATGAATAAGGAAGACCAAAGAAGAATTGATGCTTTTGAATTGTGGTGTTGGTGAAGAATATTGAATATACCATGGACTGCCAGAAGAATGAGCAAATCTGTCTTGGAAGAGGTACAGCCAGAATGCTCCTTAGAAGCCAGGGTGGCGAGACTTCATCTCGCATGTTTTGGACATGTTATCGGGAGACACCAGTCCCTGGAGAAGGACATCATGCTTGGTAAAGTAGAGGGTGAGTAAAAAAGAGGAAGACCTTCAACGAGATGGGTTGACACGGTGGCTGTAACAATGGGCTCAAGCATAAGAAGGATTGTGAGGGTGGTGCAGGACTGGGCAGTGTTTCGTTCTGTTGTACATGGGGTCGCTATGAATCAGAACCGACTCAATGGCACCTAACAACAACATTCTTAGCTTGCAGGCTGTACAAAAACATGTCGTTTAGCCGGTGGGCCAGGCCATAGTTTGCTCTAAGCTTACCCTGCTCATTTTTCTCACCAGAGAGGTCATCACCTTCCAACAGACCATAACATTTACTACGTTGACTGTCTAACTTCTCCAATAGACGGTCAACGCCAGGAAGGCAGGGATCTTTCGTCTGGTACACAATTGTGCAATAAAGATTTGATAAATGAGTGAATCCTAATGACTCCCAGAAGTGTGAACCCACTCTTTATTTGCTGTCTCTGCATACCACCTGTCTTAGTTATCTAGTGCTGCTATGACAGAAATACCACGAGTGGATGGCTTCAACAAACAGAAGTTTATTCTCTCACAGACTAGGAGGCTAGAAGTCCAACTTCAGGGTGTCAGCCCCAGAGGAAGGCTTTCTCTGTCGGCTCTGGAGGAAGGTCCTTGTCATCAATCTTCGCCTGGTCTAGGAGCTTCTCAGCACAGGAACCTTAGGTCCAAAGGATACACTCTTCTCCTGGCATTACTTTCTTGGTGGTATGAGGTTCCCCAAGTCTCTACGCTCACCTCTCCCCCCTATATCTCAAAAGAGACTGATCCAAGACACAATCCAATCCCGAAGATTGAGTCCTGCCCCATCAGCACAACCTGCCACTAATCCCATCTCATTAACAAACATCACAGAGGTAGGATTCACAACACACAAGAAAATCACATCAGATGACAAAATGGTGGACAATCACACAATACTGGGACTCATGGCCTAGCCAAACTGATACATATTTTGGGGAGATACAATTCAATCCATAACACCACCTTCCTGGCCAGTGGTTATCATGGCCAACGCCCACACCCCAGGGCCCCTCAACTTCACGAGGAGCCCTGGTAAGTGCTGGGTCCCCAAAATAGACCAAGATTTTGAGACTGGGAGGAGGAAGGGAGCAGAGAACATTTCCACTCATCCCAAACTTTGAACTCTGTGATTTCACCCTGAGTGTCTGTGACGTCATGTGTCAGGGGACCTGTGAGCCACCAGAGGTGAGGGGTGTGCACAGTTCACCGCCTGGGAGAGGCCACCCTGCCTTGCATTGCAGCAGGAAGGGAGGGTGACTCACCATCTGAGACACGGAAGCTTCCGGTGACAGACCCAGGACAGCCCCCAAACAGTCACCCGCCCACCTGAGCCTTCCTCCTCCTCATCATCGCATAGCCAGGTGGGCGCTCACTCTGTGTCAGGCGTAGTGTGCATGATCACATGAGTTCCTCATCCCATTTTCTTTTCTTTTTTTTGCAAAGAGGACCTTCAGTTCTTTTTTTTTTAAATTTTATTGTTGTACTTTAAGTGAAAGTTTACAATTCAAGTTAGTCTCCCATACAAAAATTTACACAAATATTGCTGTGTGACCCTAATTGCTCTCCCTATATGTGACAGCACACTCCTCCTTTCCACCCCAGATTTCCCGTGTCCATTCAACCAGCTCCTGACCCTCTCTGCCTTCTCATCTCACCTCTGGACAGGAGCTGCCCATTTAGTCTCATGTATCTACTTGAGCTAAGAATAAGAAGCCCACTCTTCACAAGTATCATTTTATGTCCCATAGTCCAGTCTAATCTTCATCTGAAGAACTGGCCTTGGGAAAGGTTTTAGTTCTGGGTTGACAGAGAGTCTGGGGGCCATGATCTCTGGGGTTCCTCCAGTCTCAGACCATTAAGTCTGTTTTTTTACTGGAACTTGAGTTCTTCACCCCACTTTTCTCCTGCTCCATCAGGGACTCTTTGTTTTGTTCCCTGTCAAGGCAGTCATTGTGGTAGCCGGGCACCATCTAGTTCTTCTGGTCTCAGGCTGATGAAGTGTCTGGTTTATGTGGCCCTTTCTGGCTCTTGAACTAATACTTTCCTTGTGACTTTGGTGTTCTTCATTCTCCTTTACTCCAGGTGGGTTGGGACCAATTGATGCATCTTAGATGGCCACTCACTAGCTTTTAAGACCCTAGATGCCACTCACCAAAGTAGGATGCAGAACACTTTCTTAATAAATTTTGTTATGCCTATTGACCTAGATGTCCCCTGAAAGCACCTCATCCCATTTTCGAGAAGAGGAAACTGAGGCTCCGAGAAGTGAGCTCACTCACTTAAGATAACACTGTTAATAAACAGAAGGGCTGGGATTCCCTCCCAGGACCCTCTGCCCCCAGGGCCTTAACCACTTGGATCCACTGCCTCTAATTCATCCTTCTGACCAGAAACAGGATCCCTGGTGGTGCAGTGGTTAAGAGCTCAGCTGCAAACCAAAAGGTCAGCAGTTCGAATCCACCAGCCTCTCCTTGGAAACCCTATGGGGCTATTCTACTCTGTCCTGTAGGGTCGCTGGGAGTTGGAATCAACTAGACGGCAACCATAAAACGGGGCCCAGAAACATCTGCCAAGTGTTGTGACACCCCCGGCACTGTCCTATCATGGGGTGGGAGTAACAGTCCCATAGAATCTGGAATGGCAATGATTTAAAAAGAAAACAAGTGTTGGACAGGTTGTGGAAAAACTGGAACCCTCGACTAGATGTTGTTGATTCCGACTCACAGCCCCATACGTGTCAGAGTGGAACTGCGCTCTATAGGGTTTTCATGGCTGTGACCTTTTGGAAGCAGATCACCAGGCCTTTCTTCCTAGGTACCCCTGGGTGGGTTTGAACCGCCAACCTTTTAGCTAATAGTCAAGTGCTTAACAGTTTGTGCCACCCAGCGACTCCTAAGAAATTAATATTGATATGCTGTTACAATCTAGACTAGAGATTTGATTTGAATTTGATCAGTTTTTCTGCTATATGGTTTAGTTTTTAAAAGGTGACTAAAGAGCAAGGACCATCCAGCTGCATAAGGAAAGGACAATCTGGTCACCTTTAGTAAAGACCCCTGGGAGAGGATGATCTAGACCATGTCTGGGTCAGCTTCCCTGAGAGTCTCCACCAGGTTACCTTCTAGCTAAATACAGAGTGGCTCATAAAATAAAGAACATAACCTGTGAGTATTGTGCTCCTTTAAAAAATCATCTGTATGAGACCAAACTGTCAACAGTTACCCTAAAGCAAAGACGAGAAGGTAAAGAGTCAGGGAAACTAGATTACTGGAAATGGAGCAACCAGAACAGAGTTAATGAGAATTTTGACACAATGTGAAAAATGGTAACCAATGTCACTGAACAATTTGTGTCAAAATGGTTAAACGGGAACCTAACCTGCCGTGTAATCTCTCCCTGAAAACACAATAAAATATTATTTAAAAAAAAAATTGACAGGGCTCCAAGATATGGAGGCAGGGGGGAAAGAGGAGTTAATGATGATGGAAAAATCACATTGATTATGGGTAGGGTTGCACGGCCAGTAATTGTAATTGCTGTCAATAAGTAGTACACCTGTAAAAAGTTAAATTGACAAAAGTTGTGTGATATATTTACAACAAGGACCAAAAAAAAGAGTAGCTGCTGAGGCTGCTTATGTTCAACCAAACACCTCATGGGATTTGGTCCCTTGGTTGGGAGGTTTAGGGCCATGGTTTCATGAAACATCCAGTTAATTGCCCTAATCACATGTTTTGTTTTCCTGATTTATCTATTTTATTTTTTATAATTCTTTTTTTAAATTTTATTGTGTTCTAAGTGAAAGTTTACAGCACAAATTACTTTTTCATTCAAAAATATCAAACACAAATTGTTTTGCGACATTGGTTGCAATCCCCACAATGTGTCAGCACTCTCCCCCTTTCCCTTTACACCCCGGGTTCCCGGTGTTCGTTCATCCCAGTTTCCTGTCCCTTCCTGCCTTCTCATCTTTGCTTTTGGACAAGTGTTGCCCATTTGGTCTTGTGTACTTGATTGAACTAAGAAGCACATTCCTCACGTGTGCTACTGTTTGTTTTATAGGCCTGTCTAATCTCTGGCTGAAAGGTGGACTGTGGGAGTGGCTTCAGTTCTGAGTTAGCAGGGTGTCCAGGGGCCTTAGTCTTGGGAGTTTCTCCAGTTTCCGTCAGACCAGTAAGTCTGGTCTTTTTTTTTTTTTTTTTTTGGTGAATTTGCATTTTGTTTGGCATTTTTCTCTCCATCTGCCCAAGACCCTCTATTATGATGCCCATCAGAGTGGTCAGTAGTGGTAGCCGGGTACCACTAATAACGTGTTTAGTGCTTCTGTTCTACCTCCTAGTTTGTTGCGTAGTGTCTGGGATCTTGAAAGCCTGCAAGCAGTCATCCAAGGCACAACACTTGGTCTCTATTTGCCTGAAACAACAGAGGAAGAAGGAAAGGAATAGGTAGAGGATATGAAATATATGGCTAACTGCCTCCATGAACAACTGCATCCTTTGCCATGAGACCAGAAGAACTGGATGGTGCCCGGCTACCATTACTGATCAAAGA